TAGAAGCTTCTTGGACTGAGCCACTTGGAAATGCCTGGGAGATTTGGGGAACACGGTTAAGAGGTGGTTGCTGTTGTTACGTACAAAGAGAACGGCTGCACTTTTAATATCACACTCTGTATTTTTCTTCCTTGGTCAGAAATGAACAAGTCCCTGTAATGATGTTATGAGGGAAACACGGTGCTTTACACAAAGTCCAACTTGTAGGGGGAAAAAAATGCATTCGCCTTGTGTTTATGGCCAGGGCCATGGGTCAGAATGAAAACCATGTCCTGTGTGAACTGAAATAATCAAGAGGTTTCATTGGTAGTGCATTTTTATGTTTTCTGGAAGTCTGTTTTAAGACAAAGAACATGTTTATTAATAGTTCAGTCTTTTCACCAGACTCACTAGTGGCCTAAAGACAATGATGAGATTTGAGTCTGCGTGTGTATATCAAAGGTACATGGGATTTGCCTTCTCTATGTCCACGCTAATATGTCTTCCCTGAATAAGCAACAAGTTGGTGGTAGCTATTACTCCTAGTGGCTTCCAGATGTTAACCATGTGACTGAACAGAACTATTCTCTGACGAGAGTGGCAAGAGAGAGAAATTGTTAGTGTATTCAATGATTTTAATAACCATGAAACACGCTTTTTCGTCTACTGAGTCCACCTGCACAATGTAAAAAGTCCACATAAATAGAGTATTTTTATGGGGAAGAGGAAGATTTAAATCTATAGAGCGTATGTGAATCTACTCTTTAATAAAAAAGAAATAACTAACGTACTAAAGCTGATTACTATTTATCTTTGAATGCTTTAATTTTTTAGATTTTAAATTTTATGTCTATGCTGGATAGAAAAGGATATACATTTTCAGAGTCTATGTTAAGATATTACAAGGCCTTTTGATGTTTTACATAGTTTAGGTAAAAACTGCCATTAACATGTTTTCAGCCTAAGTTGAATATTGATGCATTTTACATTTTTTCCTTAAGAAAAATAAATAATTCATACTTTTGCAAGTAAAATATGTACTTTTTCTGGCTTTCTTGAAATTGTATTTCAAGTGCCAACAGACTTCATGGGTGGCATTCTCACTGAGAAGCAAGACATGAACCAATATTTTTATTACAGTCAACCCACGTGTCTTCATAAACAAAATATTGTTAATGTTTTTCCATTTAGACTTCAATGTTAGTAAGAAGAATATACAAATTGTTAGAAGAGAGAAATAAATTACACAGATAAATAGCTTTTCAAAGACCATCATTGGTGCAAATTGAAACAAGAAGTTGAGATTGTCAACCATGGTTCCAAAAGCTGATGTTTAGTGTGTTTTTTAAAAATGTAAATTATTCAGTAGATGGCTTGTTCATCTCTTGTACTTTTCCTATTGACACAGCTGTAGTTAGTGACATTTCTGAATGCTCTTTGTCTATTATGCATTCTATAATGACCACAAAAATATAAACTAGTGGCGAACATGGGCAAAAAATTAAGTGAATATTCCCTTTACACACACAGACACCCACAGTCCTCCTTCAAGTACGAGGGTATTTCCAGAGGCCTTAGCACAGCGGCATTCAATTAAAGCTCTTTATTTTTGTCGATTGTTTTTAGGCGCTCAGGATGAGAGTGGGCCATGGGAAAAACAGCAGAGTAAACGGTCAGCTGTGCAAATGATGTGTGCAGTGTGGCTGTACTTGCTGCAGAGCAGGCCGGCACTTGAGCCCCAAACCAGAGAAAGTTTAACATCCCTCGAGCTGAGGCAACGGCTAGGTTTAAGTTTATAATCTCACATAACAATTCCTTTCTAAAGAGCTTATTTCAGTTTTATTAGAATTCAGGACTGTTAAGTTTTTTTCTAGTTATTTTTTCATAAGTGGATAAGGGGGATGTATAAAGAAACTTGCATTGTTAGTTTATAAAAATTTAAAAATTACCTAATGCTGAGACATTCTACCCAATGTGTTTGTATTATTTATGGACATGTGTTTCTCTGTCTCTTTGGATAATGTAACAGATAAAAACCAACCAAGGGAGAGGATATAATCTGATGCTCAAAAATAAGTAAAACAACAAATGTATAACTGTGCGATATCTGCCTAACCTGACTTCATTTAATGTAACCATTTGAAAAATAATTAATATACTATTTTAAATGGCTAATCTTCCAATCTTTTTTTTAAATTCACAAGTATATCCTAAAGGATTTCTAAACCCAGAGTGGAACAACAAACTTAACTCTGACCTCTGACCCTGACATTTCTATATTTAGATAGCAATAGATATTGAAACCCTGCAAAAAGAGATTTTTTTTCTTTGTTGTCTTTATTGTTTACTTGATTCTTTTAGTTTAGACACTGAAGTTACCAAAAAGGAGTGTATCCATAATGGGCATACAGACTGGCTGAAAGCAAAGGAGTAACAACAAAAATTAAAATATATACAAAGAATAAAAGAATGTACTAATAAAAATCTTTTAGGGATAATTTTCCCCCAAGTTCAATAGGGCAAAAGATCCACCATAAAAGAAGCAAACGACCATCCTGAAACTTAATTACATTTCAAAGTAATGCAGTCACATGAAAGGAACAAAACATTTTTGTTCAATAGTTTGCCTACCAGATGGCATTTCTAAATATAGTCATCTAAAACCTTCTGTTTGTTCTATAAATAAAGATGAAAGGAATAGCAACAATAGCTAAGCATTTAAATCACTGGAAATAAAAGAGCACTTTGATTAGGTTTGGAAGAATCTGGCTGATTCTAATAATGATCCCAAATCTGGGAAGGCTCAAGTTCTAGGTGAACTCGGACTCCCCGCCTTCAGGTGCTGCTCACGCTGGTGCTCATTTTGGTGGAGAAAACCAGCACAAGAAACGACACCCAGAGAATCGGCGACAGCTGCCAAAACACGGGAACCCCTAATCAATAGGAATTCTGAAGAGCTACAGTCCAAATCCAGGAAGTTTTGTTCTGTTTTTAAACAAAACATTTGGGACGTGTCTCATCTTATTTTTGTGAGCTCATGTGTAAATGTTGGTAACAATTAAGGACCCAAACTCCGGTGACGGATAGGCCCTACATATCAATCCAGACCCTACAAATGACTGGCAGGATGGCCGGGAGCCAAGTTCTTTACCTCACTGAGCCTCACTTGCAAAAACAGATAATAATAGTACAGAGTTGTATGGGAATTTACTTAAGACAGTACGTGGCACGTAGAAAGTCCAATGACTCAGTTGCTTATTATTATTGTTGTTGTTATTATTAGTGATAATAATAATCACAACTGTTAGAGCATTGCTTCTGATTTTCTGCTGTCTCGGAAGCATGCAGTCACGACAGCAATGTTTTCCAGCAGCAAATAGAGTTCTAAGAGTAGAACTGAGAGCCTTACCTGGTCTATCTCCGCGAGGCCTGTCCTAGGAGGACACTGCACTCTTCTCACCTGGCTCTTGAACGGTCTCGAGATTCACGTGGGGAAGGCAGGTCTAAAGGCAGAAGTATTTGAGAATTGATCATCAGAGCGCAACCTAACCCCAGCTAGTCCTCCTAATGACTTCACTCTCAGTACTCTCAGCAAAGAGGTTTTAGCGAGAGGACGCCAAGCTCCTTTTTGATCTGCTTAACTCGTGGCATGTGGGACCATTCCCAGCCACGGCACTGGGCTGCTCTTGGCAACCGACCCATAGGATAGGCAGTTTAGTCACTTGTGAGTAGGGCGATTACCTTTAACAAGAAAGATAAGTTGGAATTGCTTAAACATGATGCAGACTATAAATGAATGGAAGTCAGGTGTTTAAAGTTCTACCGGGTTGTTTCTGAATTTTACAGGAGGAAAGAGCTACCTACTAGGGCTACAACACTGCATTAAAAGATGTCTGTGGTTAGATCCTTATACAGAAAATAGTTCCATTTTGGGAGGAGAGCGGTTTTTGTTTTTCTTTTTTTAATTATGAAAATATATACTTAATGTAAAATGAGCCATTTGGATCATTTTTAAGTATATAGTTCAGTGATTATGGCCATTAAAGAGTGCCCCCCATTCTTCCCTCCCCTCAGCCCTTGGTAACAGCTTCCCTACTTTCGGTCTTTTATACAAATTTGCCTACGCTAGGTACCTCGTATAAGTGGAATCATACCACATTTGTCCTTTCGCGACTGGCTTCCTTCATGTAGTGTAATGTTTTCAAGGTTCATCTATGTTGTAGCATGTAGAAAAATTTCATTCCTTTTTAAGGCTGAATAATATTCCATCGTATGTCTATAGTACATTGTTTTCCTTTAATCTGGGGAGGAACATTTGGATTGGCTTTTGTGACTAATATTGCTATCAACAATGGTGTACAAGTACCTGTTTGAGTCCTTGGTTTTGTTTTTTTGCATTTACATCTAGAAACAGCATAATTAGATCATATGGTAACTCTGTTGAACATTTTAAGGAACTGCCAAATTACTCCCATAGCTGCTGCACCATTCCACAGTCCCATCAACAATGCACAGGGTTCCCAGTCTCCCCCACCATGGCCTACATTTATTTTCCATTTTTTCAGTAATAGTCATCTCAATGGGTATGAAATAGTACCTCTTTAAATTAGATTTGCTCTCTAAACTAGCTTTAAAAACTATTCATGGCGACGGTATCCCAAATATAAAAAGTTACATCTTGTTCCAGCCCCAAAGTATAAGTTAATATATGATAATATCCCTTAAATTTTAACATATTGACACCAATATTTTTCCAAACAAAAAAATAATCCTGAGTTTAGGATTGCAGTTAAAAATCCTATAACAAAAATACATAAATAAATAAATTCCTTGCCCTAACCGAAACTGCCACCTGCGTAACACCATTTTTACCAAAAACTAACTCGCAGCAGCATCCACTGACCTGCTGGCTTGAAACTTGACCCAAAGGCAGGAGGGCGTGCCCCTCTGCGCGTGCGCGTTTCCAGGCGCGCCCCCGCGCCCCGCGTGCGTACGTGCGCGGGCACGCAGGGCGGCGCGGGGCGGGGCCCGCAAAACTCGGGGCGTGGCGGCAGCTGTGGTAGCAGCCATGGCGGCCGTGTCGAGGCCGCTTCGCCTGCAGCGGTACGTGGTGTCGCCGGCTGGGAGGCACAGCGCCTCCCTGATTTTCCTGCACGGCTCAGGTGGATCACAGTTTTACGTCCTTGTTTTCTGCAGCTTGAGAAACACCCTCCCTGCGGTCCCCCGAGAGCTGCCCCCCTGCAGGAGTCTCCGGGCCCCTAACCCCAGTAGGGCCCGGGGCGGGGGGCAGGTGGCTCGGAGAGGGTGGCAGTCCTGTCCCCTCGCTAGCCCCGCGGCTGTGGACACACGGGCAGCGTGGTTACCTGTCCCCAGCGGCCCCCCTTTGCCTGCCTTCCGTCTTGCGATCACTGGCCCACCACCCTCGCTGCCGGCCCACGTGTCCAGCCCTCCATCCACAATAGTGTCTCCGTGCCACCCTTACTATCCCCCCGTTCCCCTCCCCCAAGTGTAAACAGAGCAAGTTAGTAAGGTAAGTCCTCTACTAGAGACAAATACGTTACTTCTCAGGGTCAGCTGTTAGTGATTTGAGTTTTCAGCTGCATTGGATTACTCACCATTTCTCTCTCCAGTCTCCCGTAGTGATGGAGGCAATTGAGATTCACAGTTAAATTATTTTTATTATCTCTTCCCTGCTCCTCCTTCCTTTTCCCCCCTCTTTCCCCCTCCTGTCACTAGGCACCTCAAGGTATAGCGCAAAGTCAAGTCCACCTGCCTTTGGTAACGTGTGCTTAATTCAGTACAGCGTTTCCGAAACTGATCTGTAATTTCTTACGTCTGTCTGCCCCGCTGGATCTTGAGCTCCTCAGGAGTAAGGCCCCTTGTTTTATTAATCTTTGCTTGGCCCAGGGTGAGTTCTTGGGAAGTGGTTTCTTTTTTTCTTTTTCTTTTTTTCTTTTTTTACAAATGAGATGCAGCCAGTGTCCTCGGGGCCTACCTAAAGTTAAAAACAATTCAATTAGTTTGAGTCAGCAGTGGAGGGGAGATCACAAGACGGTGCGTGATGCTTCCAAGGGGATTGTGAGGGGAAAGCGGTGGTTAGGGTTTGTTAAGGCATTTGGAAGATGAAGAGCTGGTCATAGTTGACGGGGCAAGTAGTCCTGGAGCTGAGACTGACATAGGCTTTAAGAGAATGACGATTGGGCAGCGGAGAGGATTAGAGAGGTCCGGCGTGGAGACCTGGAAATGGGCAGGCGTGCGAGGTGTTGTCATTTTGGAAGTGAGTCCTGATAGGATGAACAGCTTGCCCAAGGTCACTTGGCTATTACTTTTAAGGAGTGATGGGACAGGGACATGAACTCAGAGCTTTCTGGGTCCCAAATCAGTGCTCTGGCCAGGGTGAGGTGAAAAACAAAACAAAAACTGAACTAGGATGTATCGTTTTGGAAATTGAAAGGGACCAACAGTGTTTAAAGGGAAAGACCTAACTGATGATGTATATTTAGAAGGGGAGGTGTCTTAGGATAACCGCAAAGCTTTACACTAGGTGACGACTACTAATACTATTCAGGGCTCCAAGTGTTCACTTGCAAGCACCCAGAAGTTCCCCAGCACCATACTCCTTTTAACAAATAAGGTAATTATTTTACAATATCTTTAGGAAATATCCGAGACATTTTTTTTCTGGACCACTTTGCTTAAATTATTCTTACTTTTTTCAATTTCCAATTATGACATTTTAAAAACCTGTAACTGTATATCTCTGAAACTGAGTTGTCCATTATATATATTTTTTTCCTCTTGTACTTTGAACATTTATCCAGAGTTCTGCCAGTTATGCAAGTATAATGTGATTTCTGTATATTTAGAGCTCCATTTTAGTAAATAAAACTCTTATTAGGAGTATGACTTTCCATTAGGCTTGAATATATATGGTTATGTTACAGATGTTTGGCTTCTGGTTAATCCAAATGTGGGTAAACCAATTTTAATAGTTTTACCATATTCTTGGAATAATGTGCTGGCTTTTTAAAGGGAGACTTTGTGACTGGATGGATGGATATTGTTTTGTAGCGTTCAGCTTTGCTTTTCAAGGTTGAAAAGAGTATGTAGAGGCAGATTTAGTTTTTTTGTTTGTTTTTAATCTTAAAAGCCTTAAGTTTCTCCTCTAGGTTATGAACGGCAGCCAGAGAAGAACAATTGGGCATGTAAGTTATATATAGTCAACCTCCTGTGAGCCTTTCCTACAACTGAAACACCCAAGAACTGCCTTTTCTCAGGATGATAAAAACAAATGATAGTTTAATTAGCTTTGTTCAGCTTCCCAGAGTAGAGTAATTCATTCTGTTATATATATATTTCCTTAGGACACTATGATGTTCATCATATTTATAATTACCTAATTTAATATCTGTCCCACACTAAGCTGTAAGGGTCACACAGGCACAAACTGTGGACATCTTGCTTTCTGCAGATCCTGCCACATTACGTTACTGACACACCGGGTTCTTGCGATCTCGCAGGAGAGAGGTCACCCGAGCCTGGCGCACTGGCTGGGAACTGAACCCAGGCCTCCAAGATGGCAGAGGAGGATCCTACTGAACCACCCTGGGTTCTTGCGATCTCCCAGGGTAGAAATCAGTAGATCACCAGAAACTGATTCAGAGCCTGGTGCGCTGGCCGGGAGGCAAACCTGGCTCCCCCAGACGGCAGGGGAGAACCCTGTCACCGAGCCACTCTGAGTTCCTGGGATCTCCTAGGACATAAATCAAAAGAGGTCACCAGAAACCAATACAGAGAAAGGTCCACTTGGGAGCCAGAACCACAAAGGGAACGGAAGCGGGCTGCTCCCTGCACAAAGGCTGGGGAGAGTCTTAAAGGGGCTTGTATGGGAAAAGTGGTGTCTAAGGACGCGGAGGTGGGGCTGTTCAGCACTTGCGCAGTGTACTCTGTGGGACTTCAGGTGGCACTTGTCTCATTAGCATGTGCTGTCTCCACTCAGGCATGTACTTTGTTAGCAGTTAATTGAGGGAAGGTTGCTGAAAGGATAGTCTTTTTTAATAGCGCGTGTGAAACAAAGGAAAAAGAAACTTAAGTACCCCTCCCACCAAAAAAGTAAATCTTATAGACAGCAATGAGCCTCAGTCTAGACGCTGATCGGCTGTAACGAGAGGGGAAGGTCGTGGCTTGCTGCCCTTTGGGACCAGAGAGTGGCTTGTCTATCTCAGTAAGTCTTGGCCAACTGATTGTGTTGGCTCTTACAGTTACCAGTGTTAATAAGTAATGGACTCTTTCCAGTCTTCCTCTTACTTGAATTGTCAGCACCATTCAGCTTTCTCTAAACACTTCTGATTCTTTCTACCTTTGTTTGCTGCTGCTGGTTTATTTTGCAGACTCATCCTCCTCTGTCTGTCCATTAATGTGGAGATTCCTCAATATTTGGTCCCAGGACCTCTTCTCATCCTCCATTTTTCTCCCTGGGCTAAACGCCACGTAAGCCCACAGATTCTATTTTTGCCTAATTACAGGAAACACAAATGTGTGTTTCTGTTTTGGGTCTCGGTTGAGCTCAAAACATGTTTATCCAACAGCCTAGGAATCACTCATTCATTAATCCATTAATTCAAGGAATGCCTGTCACATGCCCTCTCTGGGCAAGGCACTGTTCTAGGCTCTGGGCATACAGCAGTGAACGGAACAAACAAAAATACTTGCTCTCCTGGAGTTTCTTTCTAGTGGAGGAAATATCACATAGCAGGGGATAGTAAGTTCTACGGGGGAAAAAAGGAAGTGGGATAAGGAGTAGCTGCTTTATGGGTTTCCTGTCACCATGCCAAGTGCAAACCACTGTTGGTCACAAGCGGTCCCGGCCAAAACCTCACCCCCATCCTTGAAACCTTTCACCACTGACCCCCTCCTAACAAGCCTGCTGCCGATTTCTGTTCCGTTTAGCGCTAATCATCACTCATACCTATTTCTGTATGATCCCCTGCTGTCTCCCTCGTATAAGGATTGTCACCTGATCTCCCACATCTACTTTTGTCCTTCAGTTCTGTCTTCACACAGTCTCCAGAGTGACCCTCACAAGCAGGCCACCTTCCTGCCACAAAAATATATGCAGCTTCTCCGCACCCTCGGGATTTGTCAGCTCCCTACAGTTTCTCTAGCCTCGTTTTTTCCTTATAATGACCGTTTTATTATGGCATAAGGATACAAATGAGAACCAGCCAAAAGATGAGACACAGGGAAAAGCCTGGGAGGGTTCTAAACCTGAATCTTCTGTCATCTTCAGTAACCAAGGACTTCCCAGCATGGAAGTATGACAGGGCTCAGAAGGACATTGTCACCAAAGGAATTTCACCTGAGCTTTTAATGCAGAGTTTTATTTGGGTTTTATTACATAGACAGGACTGATTTGCGGTTGAACTCATTGCCAGCCTCCTCTCTTCCCCGGAGGGTGGGCTGATACCATGTGGTTCAAAGCCCCAAACTTCTAACCATGTGATTGGTCTTCCTGTTGGCGGCTCCCACCCCAAGCCATCTTCTTAGTACTCAGTCTCCTGAGGTTTCAGGGCCTGTCCATGAATAACAAAGACACTCTGCTCACTCAGGGAATTCTAAGGGTTGGGAGGTCACCTCTTTCTTAGTGTCTGGGGACAAAGGCTGGCCACGCTCCTTATTACAGTTCCTTTTAAAAGAGCGTCTAACCTCATCTTGCACCCGCTGCTCTTCCTCCTCACTTCCTGCTTTTCAGTTCTTAGAGGCCACACTGCCCCTTCCTAGGAAGGGTCCCGGCGTTTGCCTTATGCTGTGTCTGAGATGCCTTCCTTCTGAACCCCACTGTCACCGTCCCGTAGATTTGAGTGCCAGCCTTTCAGCAGCTACCTGCTGGATGCCCAGGCATCAAAAGAACAGGTACCTCAAAGGATGAAACACACAACGAACCTTTCCTTGCAGAGCTTGTATTCTGGTGAAGTTATCCCTGAACCCGACTGGGTCCCTTCTGAATACAGTGGACCCTGGCATCTTTGCACTGGTTACACTTGTCTTTCACATACGTGCCTGTGGTTCACTGTTTCCCTCACCAAACCGCGTACTCTGGCGGGGCAGGGGTCCCTTCTGCCCCTCTCCCCGTCACCGCCCGGCCGGCAGTGCGCACGGTGCCGGACACAGCCACACGTTTTCAGCAGATATATTTGGAATTGACTGATCAAAAAATTATAGTTGTTCCCTTTAAATTTTCCTCTTCAGGACAACATATGACAGACCTATATTTCCTTCCATTTTTTATGGAAATACACAAATTCTTGCAGGAATTTTGGTGGTTTTTTAGCCTTGGAATGTATAATCATTATTTGAGGTCATGTAAATATGTAATGGAAATTAAATTCTAATTTCTTTAGGTTAAAAAAGCATGCCAAATACTCCTTTTTGAAGGATTTTGTTATTTTAACCAAGAAAATTGTTTTAGGTTGTTCCAACTACAAAAGTTCATAAGCACTTGAGGAATTGACTATTTTTTAGGAATACAGATAAGAAAGAACAGTGTTTAAGAATAAAATGGGATTTTTATTTAGAAAAACTGATTTATTTGTTCCTTTAAACAAATGAGGAAACTTACAACTCAAGCTTAAAGTGATCAGTGGTGAAGTGAGGAGTAAAATAATCAAAATTATTACTACCTATTGATGCCTGATCAGTTTATATTGATAAGCCAGAGCCTGTGCAGTTATTTTTAAGTATGGAGATTCTTTTTTATTCCGTGTTCCATCCTCCGTACGCCATGAAAATTATAGACTGCACTTAAATACATTGCATTGTCGAAACGTTTTATCTTAATCTAATTTTGTGATTCATCAGGTGATTCTGGACAAGGATTGAGAAGGTGGATCAAGCAGGTTTTAAATCAGGATTTAACATTCCAACACATAAAAATCATTTATCCAACAGCTCCTCCCAGGTAAGTTGTAAGTGATCTCGATGCTCAGCATAGCTCTTTGACATAAAGTGTATAAAGACAGATGTACCAGCTAGATGTTCTTTAAGCTTAATCCTGTATTTAAAATATTTTAAATTGGGGAACTTTTTACCCCAGATTTTTTTTGCAATCACACTATTGGGCTGAGTTTTGCCAGGCGAGGAACTTACTTCCTTGTTGTAAAACATGCCCTGGAACTGGTCACTTACCCTCTGTCCCCCGTGTGGCCTGTGGGACTTCCTCCCCCGGCCCTGCAGGCGGCTCACCTTTCAGACTCCCTTTTCCCCGCACGCACCCCAAGAAGAAATTCATGGCTTTAAAGGGCATAACCTTTCTAATGATTTAGTTAAGCCAGAGTTCTAATCTCTGGAAAAGGGTTTGGTGGCATCCCTTCAACACTTAAATAGTTTAAAAAATAATGGTAAGAGGCTTTTTGAATCAGCAAACCAGAATAGGAATATGGAATTGGCCAGTTAATAACTATTTTGATTATACAACCTGTAGATGTATTTAACAAAATGCCCAATCATGAGATTAGTATAGTTTCAAAGTCAAACTGCTTTTTAAAATTGTTAAGTTAGCACCTGCAGAGTCTCTTTTATTCTGAACACACGCCCTAAACCAGGGCTTACAGAGAGAGAGAGAGAAAGAGAGAGAGAGAGAGAGAGTGTGTGTGTGTAAGCAAGATAATGTGTGCGGAGCTGTGCAGCCCACCCGGATTTTCCATTATCTGTTCTTGATTTATTATTATAAGCACATTATATGCTTATGCAAATGCTTTGCTTTATTTTTTATTAACATTATTAAAGAGAAGTAGATCTTCAAGGATCTTTTTATGTGCACTATTAAGATTTTACTTACCTCATTTGATTGAACTTGAAAGAGGTAGAACAATAAAAGGATACTTATATTGTGAGATTTAAGGTTCAAAAAAGTTATTATTTTAATATAATTTCAGAGCAGTGTGGTAGTTGGATTGTATGGATGGAAGACCAAAGGGCCAATGAGTTATTTTCGTGCTGTACGTTGACTGACTGTGAAAATGTCAGAGGAGCTTGTTCTTTGCTGTTGGTTTTTAGGGCAATGAAGTTGGGAAGGAGAAAGACCATGGGGATGGGAAAGACACGTCCATTTAAGCCTGAATATAAATGTAATTGTAGGATGACACTGAATGGAAGGTCATTGGAAATATGATTCTAGGGACTAAGGTTTTTTAGCTGAAGAATTTTATGCTATCACCAATGCAAAAGGAACTCCAGACCAGTGCGTCTGGAACTGGAGGCCAGAGATGCTTACACAAGCTGAGAATTCTGCATGCATACCACATACAGCATTATTTGTGGGTGCTGTTGTGACTCAGTAAAATAAATCACTGAAATATTTCATGGGACCAATAGTGGTTACTAATATTTCACAGTAACTCTTTGATATTATATATTTTCCTAGTCAACAGTTCTTTGGACAGATCATCAAACATTTTAGACCATGCTAACCAATGAAATGTAATATGAGTTACATAAGCAAATTTAAATTTTCTTGACACCACATTAAAAAGAGGAAAATGAAACAGGTAACATTTATTTGGATAATATATTTTATTTAACCCATTAAATCCAAAATATTATCATTTCAAAGTGTAATCAATATAAACTTATTAAAGGGATATTTTACATTCTTTTGTTCTATAAAGATCTTTGAAATCTGATGTGTATTTTATATATACAACACACGTGAATTTGTATGCTAATTGATTAATACATTGAAAGTGTAGTTCTTCAGTTGCACTAGCTACATTTTTTTATTTCTCTATAGGTGTATGTGGCTAGGGCCAGGATAGTTTTAAACCTTAAAGAGGAGTTCCCTTTATAGTATGTTCGGGGCCCCTGTTCTAGATCATATGATTTTTACCTAAATTTTTCATGACTGACAGTTCTTGAACTTTTTTTTTTTTTTAAATGAAATGATCTAAATCATTTATTCTCAAGCAGAGATGATGGTCCCCGGGGAACGGTTGGCCGGGTTGGGAGACATTTTTCGTTGTCCCCGCCGGGAGGAAGGGCAGAGCAGAGGCTGCTGGCACGTAGTGAGTAGAGGCCAAGGATGCTGCTCAACATCCCGCATTTCACGGGGCAGCCCCTCCGCAGACAGCTGTCCAGCCCCGGGTCTCAGTGGTGCCCAGCCTGGGACCCCTGCTTTAAAGTGCACCTTTCTCCCACCCGTACTGTAGTAGTAGCGTCTTGTTTCTCCTTCAGGGGAAAAAAAAATGTTGCAGTGTGGTCAGCTGTTTATATTTTCGAAAAACAAATATCTGAGGTAATTAACGTATGAATGGCATTATTGTGTTTGAATCAATACAAAAAGAAGTCGGATTGCACCTAAGAACAGGTCTTTATGTACTAGGCTTCCTTTATTTTTAGACTTAATTACTCTAGGTCAGAAACATTAAAAACAAAATTCCACTTCCCTTCAAAAGAGGTTTTAGTCTGAAATTCAATCTTGTGAGCATGGAGCTGTAAAGTTTTGCTTTCCTGTTTTCACTGGTTCTAAGATTCCTAAAATGAAGACATAAAGACCTCACAATTCAGTATAATTTGTAATTTCCTATTCTGGAACTCAAGAGTTTTTTAAAAATATTCAGGAAGAGTGTATATGTGTTTTTACTATAAATAGGATCTATATTGTGTAATGTTACATTTCAGGCCTCTATCCTTGATCAGGCCCCATCGAATAAAATATGTAGATAAGGATAATAATGCCAGCTAGTTTGATACTAACATAGAAATTAAGTAAGTTTGTAAAATAAGCTTACTGCTTTTAATAGAAACACCAGAACCCTGAGCTGACCTAGCAAAGTTCTTTTGTGTGAAATATTCAGCAACTTGTACCTTCTGTGGAGCTGCTGTGTTTCCCTGGGCCTCTTCCATATTGGAAACCAAATGCCGTTGATCAAAGACTGCCAACGGCTGCCAAACCTTTGACTTAGGGTTTTCTAAACGTCGGAAGGGATTTTATAATAAAAAGTTGGTTTAATAATTGATCAGTTAGAAAGTGTATTTCAGCATTACAATGAAATTATGGTTCTTTAGTTTTATGAGAAGGGCAGACATCGCCACGCTTGAATTCCAGATGTCTCAGACTCTCCCAGTAATTACAAACTTCACGTAATATGTCACTGAAAATTAAAAGATGTAAACTTTTAATTTTTAAATACGAACCACATCTCTATGGACTGAAGATTCTGTAGTCTTAGCTCATCTTACCGCTCATCGTTGTCAGAGAAAATATTGCGTACACTTTCAGCCTTTTGATACTGTCACATGCACTATGGTCTCGTGCATGGTCTCCTCCGGTACCTGTATCATGTGCATTCTGGGGTATAGAATTCTATACATGCCAATAGTTGAAGAAGGTTATACTATTCCTCAAATTTTATATTTGCATAGTCATTTTTTTAATAAGTTGCTCGATGAGGTCTTGAAGAATGAGTATTAAAATCTCTGTGATTGCAGATTAGCCTGTTTCTTCCCTTAGTTCTGCCAGTTTTCTCTGCATGTGTTTTTAAATGATATTAGGTGCACGCCTGGGTGGGATTATTGGTCTTCCTCATTAATGGCTACTTCTTTCTTATAAAGTGGTCATCATTATCTCTAGTAATACCTGGACATGTGTTTAATAATATCACAGTATACGTCTGCTTTCCTGTGTTTACTCTTTATATAGCATATCTTTTTTCATCCTTTTGCTTTCCTTTGATGAGCATTATTACTTAGTATGCATTTTTCTATCTTTTTACTTTTAATCTATTTATATCATTTAAAATGGGATTCTTACAGACAACATATATTTGGGCTTTTTTTCTTTAACCAGTCTAAATAGTCCCTTTCTTTTAAGTGATTTGTTTAGACCATTTGCATTTAATGTAACTTATATGTTTGAATTTGTCTATTTTTTTGCCTCTTTTTTCTCTTTCCATTTTTTTTGGATTATTTGAATTTTTTAATACTACATTTTTTATTTATCTATTCCTATTTTATTCCTGATTGCTTTAGGGGTTACTAGAGAGAGAGAGAGAGAGATCTCAAACTTTTTACCTAGTTTTTTTTTGTTGTTTCTTTGTTTACCACCTTACACAAAATGTAGAAACCCTACAGCCATACAGGATCCTTCCTCCTCCCCTTTTTATGTTATACTTTTCATATATGTTTTATCTACAAGCATTACAAATGCAAACAAGGTTATGATTTTTGCTTGTAAGTCATACATATTTGAAAGAGTTTAAAAGGAGGACAATAGTCTATTATATTTACCCAGTTGTGGCCTATTACAGCACATCAGTATGTTTTGATTAAATTGTAAATTGCCATTTTGGCTATAAGGTATTCCTTTACCTCAACCTTATTTAATAGATATTTTTAATCAGCTCAGTTAGGGGCATATTAAGTAAAAGTCAGCAATTAGTTTGCTGTGTTGATTTAAATGGAAAATATTGCTTCATTTTTTTTCATTATGTTAATTTGGTCTCTTTTTAAATGAAGTGCTCAATAAATGGTTTCATTTATAATGACATACTTTAATTGTATTTGTAATTAGAAGTTTTCTTGGTTTGGGTTTACTATTAGAATTTCCATTTTAAAAACAGCACAATTTTTTAACAAGCCATTAATAATTTATATGATAATATATAGTTTCTCGGTGTTTTGAAACATTCTAAAAGTAATAAGATTTGCATAGTGCCTCTGCTTTTTGATCGACCATTTTTTCACATGAAGTGCGTGTTTATATTTTTCATTAAGCATGTTTTCCAAAACAGGGTCAGACACTTAGATTTCGGTGTACTGAGCGATGAATTCCTGTTCAGTCTACCCCGCACGGTTTCTGTCCGGGGCGCAGCTCCGGGGGCGTGTTTCCGCCCGCCGGCAGGTCTGCACGGCAAGGGCACTCACTGCTAACAACAGCCACGTTGTAGAAATCGTCTTACTTGTTTGGTAAGCGTTTTAAGTAGCATATTTAAATACCTATTAGTACATAAAAACTTGTTTTCTTAGAAATGTTCTTTTTTAAAAAGGCAACAAAAGAGAAATTTGGCCTTTTCCTAGAAATCGCAATATGAATTTTAGAAGAATCAAAGTCTAAATAAAGCAATTCTAGGTGTGTTCTCATTTTAGGCTGACACAGATGATCCAAGTGACGTACGTGATGATTGGCATTCATATTCAGCAAATACTTGTTCTTGGCCCTGGGGGTATGCTTGTAGGAGAGGAAGTCCACACTCTCATACAGAAATGGGGGGGGGGGGGGGGGAATGAAATATATTAATTTGAAATAGTGATAAATTCTGTACAGTTAAGTAGGATAATGGGATAGGGAGACTATATGTGTGCATGACAGGGTGGGAGGGAGGGAGGCTTTAAATTGCAGCATCAAGGAAGTGTCCCCTGGGGAAGTGACAGTTGAGCTGAGGTGGCAGGGGTCCATGCAGGACTGTGGCCGGCAGCAGGGGGCCGGGGGCGGCGGGGGGGGGGGGCCTCCAGGCTGGGATCAGGTGCAGAGCCCCTGGATCAGTAAGGTGGTGGGTGTCCTGTTGGAAGGGAAGCGGGAGGCACGTGAGCATGGGGCGGGGGCGGGCGGGGGGAGAGTACCAAATGAGGTCACAGGGGAAGACAGCCAGGTGATATTATCTTAAAGGTACTGTGTGACCTTCGATCTTATGACCACAGGGAACACCGATCAAAACAGAACTTGGTATCAGGCTGAATGTCAACTCTCTTTTTTTTAACCTTGGGCATTTCATTTCAGCTTAATACTTTACCAACGTGCAATGGTTTGATTGATTGATTTAGGAGCCACACAGAGGTTCTATGCCTGACATATTTATTTATTGTGGTCATGTCTGAACTCTTTTATACCAGCTAATAAAGTGATTTATTTGAGAAAGAAGGTAAATGAGTATAACATATGTACCAGTTTGTTAGCTTTTTTAAAAAACAATCTTACTTTTACGCTTTTTATTTAAAGGTTATTCTAATATCTTAAGAGAATTATGCATTCTTGATTATGTTTTCATAACATAAAAGTTCTAAAGTATTCCTTCTGTCATTAAATTTTCCCAATTATCTTTTTTGAACAGAATTAATTTTCTCGGATAATAGAACCAAAACCAATTCTATTAGTAAAGCTTTACACTGGGATTTCACCTCAATGGAGCATCTATCTCTAATTGAGGAAGGCACTGTCAGAGACGAAAAGTAAAATGAATGTCATTTTTTTCAATTAATGGCTGAGTTCCCAGAATGATTCATATCTTAGCCTATGATATCATCCTTATTTAAGTGCTTAGACAGACAAATAAACACTTAGAGAAAGAGCAGAATAATATGATGGGAAGTAGAAATAATTCAAGAGAGTAACTGTCGAATTCAGCTTTAAAGTGAGTGGTATGTTCAGTTTTCATTCAGAAGATCACTGTGGTTTTGTGACAAATTGAATCCGGTTTGGAATTTCATTTTGTCTGGCGGGGGCATTAACACTCGGCGGAAGGTACCTGCTTTCCTGTTCCGAGCATCCGAAGGAAGGTGACCTGCGAAAGGGGTTCCGGGGTGTGGGAGGCCTGACATGCTGTCTTCTCTCTCCTTCTGATTCCAGTTGATTTACCTCTTGAGCAAGGCGGCTTCTGAGGTCAGAAGGCCTAGAGGAGCGAGGATTTAGGCTCCCCAGGGTCCCAGTGTGGAGCCGGTGCAGGACTCGGTTCTCTGAGCGCCGCGGAGAACAGGGCAGGTGGGGGTCAGAATGTGGCGGGTCGTGGGGGGAGCTGTGTGGCACATCCACACCCCTCTCAGATCTCTGTCGTCGAAGGTCAATTCCCAGACAATCATGCATGTTAGTTAAAATCCCACAAGGACTTTTCAGGGCAATTACTTGAAATTATTTTAACATACACTAAATATCTGATAATTTCTTGGATAAGTAAACAGGACTGGATTCCTGAGAACAGGCAGGACCAGGCCGAAGAGGAGCCTGGAAGAGTCTGGCAGGGAGAGGGATCAGCGTTACCCAACTTGGAACACATGCTACAACCACTGTAATGCCGCCAGCATGGCCCTAACACAGAGTTGGGAGGTAGATCAGTAGAAGAACGAAACTAAAGCCTTCTCATGTTCTTCACCTGAATCCCAAAACACAGGAAATGATTTGAGTGATTATTTTCTTGATTTTCCAAAGGATGGAATAGAACTAGCACTATTCTAGATGTATTGGAGAGAAGTCCATTGATTATACATACGAAGGGGAACACCCAGAAATCTCTCCTGGAGGGTGGGCCCCTTGCAGTACAGGCTTCCCCCGCTAGATGAATGTTCTAGGAACTCATCTGTATCAGTGTGCCAGCTGGTATTGTTGTGAGAGGCTGCATTTGGCTTCAGTGAATTGTTTTTGAAGACTCAACACGTTTGCCCATTTCATGAGGGGCGACTTACAAGCACACCTGCCCACACCGCACTGAGTGTTCTACACCGATTGGTTTTAGATCTGTGGGGAAAAGGATATGCTTGCTCTTTTCTTGTTGCAAGTTAATTTGTATAGCCTTTATGGAAGTGACCTTTCAACACAGCAGTCCAATTTTTGGACTCTATCCTAGGCGTGAAAGTTCCAGTATGTAAAAACACACACCAGTGTGTGGAATACAGCGTTCCCAGTGGCTGGCACCTGGGGGCCACAGCAGTGCCCTTTAGGACGGGGGGGCGGCCTTAGCCTGGACCATCTTCGTCCTGAGGTATTAAATAGGCATTCAAAGCATGGGCCAGGACTTCATCAGATGGAAGGGTTTCCAGGAGGCATCATTAACAGCGCAAAGGTGCATAAGAAAAGCAAATGGGCTATTTTCATTTTTGAAAAGCAATAGCACTCAAAAAATAACCTGTAAAGATGCATGTTCTAATGTATGTACAAGACAAACACTCAAAGATCTATTTTAGATCATAAAAATGGTGTGACAGGTAAGATGCAGGGGACTGAGAGTGGGCAGGAGGAATGGTGCAAAAATAAATAAGATTCCTATGAAAGACCCCAAAACAACACGCACACATATATAAAATATGTATCTTCATAAACTAGGAGAAATGTTCGGTTTTTATGAACTGCCTTCTAGGGATATTCAAAATACACATTCAAATTTTAGAAAAGCCTGTTGCAAAGTAACGTTTGTAACATGGTTCTGTTTTAGTAAATAAACAGAAGATCCTGTGTAGATGAGTTCTCGTTTACAGATTTCTTTCAGTCTGCCTGAGAAAGTTTCCAAATATCTCCCTCTTGATTTCCTGGCTGCTAGGCTGGACGCAGAAAGACCGTAGTGTAGGTAGCTCTCTTGCTCGCTTCTGCCCCACCCATCCATCCCAAAGGCAGCACTCTTCCCAAAGGGCAGGTCTGCAGACTGGAGGTCCTTTTGGTGGAGCAGATAAGAGAGTAAGAATTGAGTATTTCCAGCTCTTTGGGTTGGCTGAGGCTCCCTCGGATTTTCCGCGGCAGGCCTCAGCTTGGGTCTTCCGGCCCTCCGGCTTTTGTTCTAGCGCAGCGCCCCTTATATTTCACGGACTGCGGAGGGTGAGAGTGTACAGCTAGGTCTGAAGCGGGGCCACGTCGTGGGTCAAGGAGGGGCTCTGCCGCTGTGCTCCTCACGGGTGTACAGGCCTTTCCATCCATGATGGGTACCCCTTGCACTCGGACAGCGCATTCCAGAGTACGCATAGGCGGGGAGTGGGGCAAGATCCACTAACACCGTGACCGCCCCACCCCTACGTAAATGTAAAGCGTCTCAGAACATTAACCTTGTCCAACAAAACATCCGATTCAGAGCATCTTATCACATAAAATGTCTTCTAAGTCCAACGAAGCACCCAATTTGAGACCCACGTGATGCAAACAACACAGAACATCTGTATGAGTGCTTCCATGATTACTTGTACCCCATTACACTCATTCCAAGGTTCCTGAGTAGATCAAAAATAGTTTCAACTCTTGCTCTTAAAAAAAAAAAAAAAAGAATTGAACCAGTCCCATCCTAAAGATGATCTGTCTGAATGCCCTTAAATTTTAGCTCACCTTTCATACTTGAGTGCTACAAATTAATTTTTAAAAGCACATTGGTGAACTATTTTTTCACTCTTGAGATATTGAATTTTTTGCGTGTACAATTAGCTGTGAATACTAAAAAATTGATTCTTACATTAAAGGACAAAAGAACAAAAGGAATTTTTAGAAAGTAGTAGACATGAGTAATTTGTTAAACATTGAGCAGAAAAAATATAGACACACAGCATACATAATATATATAATTCCATTCTTGTGAGGATTTTTGGAGAATTTATGAATCTTAAAAGATGGAAAGAATAAAGATGGACTGGCATTTGTAAATGTTAATGGAATCAATATACGTATAGGTGAGTTACTGCTGCACAGGGATGCCCTTAATGGTTTTTTTAATTCACAAGACTTGGAGGAAATTGAAATTATTCATTCAAAACACTAGTGTTTTGGAGATTAAAACATCTATTTTAATATTATTTTCTTTTTTTTAACAGACCATATACTCCTATGAAAGGAGGAATCTCCAACGTATGGTTTGACAGATATAAAATATCGAACGACTGCCCAGAGCACCTTGAGTCAATTGACATAATGTGTCAGATGCTTACAGATTTGATTAATGATGAAGTAAGAAGTGGCATTCAGAAGAATAGGATATTATTGGGTAAGACCTTTAAATATTGTAATCTAAACTTTTTTTTACTTTATTTAATTCTGAGTGTTGAACTTTATTTGGAATGTTAGTTAGAAGCACTTGTATATCATTTGACCTGTTCATAGTTTCAAATAAACTTTACATATTAAGGGTTTCAAAGGTTTTAGAATCATAAACAATAGCTCATGAAATTTTAATTCACTTTCATCTTAATAATAACAATTTGAGGACCCCATGTTTAATTTTCAATTAAGAGATTATTCACTTCAACTTCTAAAATAATTTATTTTAATTAGCCTAAGTTTTATAAATATGTTTAAACTACTGTTGCCATGATGAAGATAAAGTATGCCATCAAAATATAACATTTAATTTATGAACAGTAAACTCTTCAGAGTTAATGTCATAGGAATAATGTATTTATAAACTTTCATTAAATGACTTTAGCAATCTCTGTTTCCAAGGGGATATAATGTGCCTTTATGTAAGTTTTTTATTCTATTTAATATCCGTTTTTTCTGTAGTCATCAAATACATAAACTAGAATATCTCTTTCTATAACACCTACAAAAATGAGATTGGATATTCAGAATGTGTATGGCATAGAACATTTATTTTGGTGAAGAAATTTTATCTTCAAATATGACTAATTTATAATGAGTTGTATTAATAAGGAAAATATAAAACAAATTAAGAATCCCCTCTCCCTCCATGAAGAATATCAGACATAAGAAGTTTATTTATTTAATTTTATATATTTATGCCAAACATGATTCTACAGAGTGTATGATAAAGGGGGTAGCACAGGCAATAAAATAATGACTTTTAAATTAGTTTCTCAACATTGGCAATATAGTTACAAATAAAAACTGGGTTCAAGTCCTGTATTCTGAGATTATTAATATTGCATTATCCTGTCGTCTTGTGGTTTGATTAACTTGGTGAGAGTGTCCAGTGTGCAGAATGTAAGAACTTTCTTAGTACAGCCGGCCTCTCTGTTAATGTCTGTATTGAAACTCTGCCTTTCCTTCTGGTATGATTCTGTATAATGTGAAAAATTTAAAGTAGAAAAGGTATATAACATTTTTCTTGTGTGTACTGTTGTGCTTAGAAAGTATATATGGTAGTCATACTACTAAAATAGTTGACATTTACATTACATTTGACAGGCTTTAAGTTGCCATTAAATATCATGTTTCATATCTAGACAGTACTTAAGTTATACAGGTTGTTTTCATATGATATCTCTTGATCCTTGTTACAGATAAAACTGGAACTTATCCTTATTTCAGTTATGATGAAACTAAAAATCAAAGAGATTGTTGGCTAATGTAAAACCAAGTTGGGACTAGAACCCAGATCCATTGACTCAGTCAAGAACTTTGTACAGAATGAGGTTCCCTTTTCGGCCACTAGGTGGTGATAATTTGTTGTTAAGAGACGATCAATATAATTTAGGTCTAACTTTGATCTGGAATGTATAGAACCTGACAAATAACATGGCCAGATTATAAGAATTTTGATAATGTAAGCATACTATCAGAATTTGGAATCAGGGAGAAGCAAGTGCTTCTGGAGTTATACCTGTGTAATTTAAGTGGATGCTCTAAATATCCATCGTGAAGAAAATGGTTGAGGAAATTATGGTCTGTTAATATGAATGAATATAATGTAATCATTAAATACTGTATAGATTCTACACATAGAAGACATTTAGTAAGTACATGTCCAATGAATAAAAATGTAATTATGGAGTTTTGTGATCTTTTGAAAGACTTTCAAATCAGTATTACATGAAAAAGTAATTTTTAAAAACATCAAAATATGTATAAATAGTGAGATTTCAGATGACTCATTTTATTTATTCTGTTTGTATGGTGGAAACACTTTACATCTAGGGTATATACTCATATATTAATCTTTTTCAAAAATTAAAATGAAAGGATAGATGGAAGTACCAAGAGGAAGCCCACCATCAGGCGTTCTTGGGTCCCTTGTCCTGACCTTATACAGATTTCTTCTGCAGCTCTTTCCTGGAGCTAAATCTTAAGAATGATAGCATTCTACTTTCTTTTAATTTATATATATATTAATTAAACAGCTTGTTTCTTCAATAATGACCAGAACTTTACAGAATAGACCTGCTCTTCTAACAGCTTTGCACAGATGATAAATATTTTGATTATCCTATAAATTTTAATGTGAGAGAAAATATACAAATAAATATCCATTCCCAAATCTTTTGAGACTTTATCACAGTTCAGCCTGAAGGATAATTATATAAATTAAATGGAAGAATTGTTGAAATTTGGAGAGAGGGCAGATTTTATTACATTTTAAAAATCCTATTCAATTGAGAGTAAACTTGAATTGTAAGTATTTTTCCTCTGGATTTTGTTTCAGATAGATTAACTTATTTTTTTCCCAGTATAGTTTTTTTATATATTGTTTCTATTTTATTTTATTTAAGGAGTTCATAAAAGCTGGGTTTATTATTTTTTAACATGTTTTATTCAGCTCGTTAATCTTAAATGTATGTTGAAATGTTAACTCTTGACATTTTAATACCTTGCCAGCAACTATAAATATACATTATAACCATTACCTACAATGAGTTTACTATTTGGTATTTACTTATTGAACAGTATATTTTATATTGCATTTTAGACATGTAGATGGAAACTGAATTCAGATAACTAGTCCTTTGTGTTAAATTTTTCTATTAGAAAAAAAATACACAAAGTCCCTTTTCACAGTAGTGTCCTACACTAAAGGCGATTGCATTGTCGAAGATAGCTGGTGAGAAATTGCAGATTACCTCCCGAGAGTATGAAGGGGTAAGGGACTGGCATTAAATGTTTAAGTAGTAAGATTTCAGTGAGTACATTTTTCTTCCTTGTAAATTATGAGAATTGAACGTGAGGTTAAATGCTTGCAGGATGCATTTATGTTTGTCCACAATGATATTTCCTATGTGGGAAAATGTTTTCTTTGTTCTTATTAGGCTGATGATATAAATTTGTCTCCCTGCAGAAATATTCTTATGGAACTGCAGTTGACCTTTGTTCGCTTATTCATAAATATTTATTAAGCACCTACTATGTACCAGGCACTGTTCTAGACAAAAAAAAAAAAAAAATTTCCTGCTCACATGAACCTGATAGTCTGGTGAATGTTGTCTTTATGTCCTGACCTTTTATAAAAGAATCAATGGCAGAAGAGTCTGTACATAAAGTGTCTGATTTTGACTTGTATGTTTAATAAAGATCTACTTGATAAATGGAACCCAGGAATTCAGGGCTAAGAAAAGTTTCCAGTGCGGGCTGCTGTGATTCCTTCTGTTAAAGAACGCTGCCTTGGAAGGGAGGCAGCTCCGCGTCCCATTGCAGCTTAATGATGCCGCCCCAGACAGGTGCCTGTGCCTCTTTCTCTGCTGTTCTTCTTGGCCTCCTGTCCTTTCCCCAGCCCCTCCTCTCCTTCCTTCACCTTCCCCCCATGTTAGAGGTGTGATTTTATTGTTAACAGCGTGCTTGATAAGTTACCTTGAATTCATTTTGTCAGTAAATGGTGAAAAGAGGTGAGATTGGAAGAAATGAAGGAAGTAGAAATGAGCATTTGTGAAGATCAATTTTGTGAACTTGAAGGAAAACTAAAGGTCTGTTCTGAAAGATACAGAGTCTTATCCCCAAACTGAAAGTAGACTTCTGTAGTTTAATAACTGAAAATGTTGAAGTCCTTGCTATGTTAACTTTTACAAGTGATTATTAAGCATTAAAGAATAGGTGTTAAAATTTGATGGAAATCCCAAAGATCTGCTTGTTCAGCTCTCTGATTTTACTGGAAATGAAATAATCTTGTCTACAGTAAGCTCTTCATATTCTCCCAGGACTCATCAAGTTCATTAACGCAGAGATCCACAGATAATGATGCCCGTGGCTTCTAACCTTGTTGACACTGATGCACATATGCAAAGTTTACGTCCCATTTTAAGATGTTTAAGCTCCCTACTCCCCTTGCCACACTTACCCATGAACCCCTAATTAGATGTATCCGCATCTGGGAGTGGTTTGGGGCTTGTTCAGACACAGCCTTCCAACTTGTTCTGGTCCGTGGGGAGCTGCTGCTACTAGCAAAACCCTCTTATTTCCTTCTAATATGCTGAGAACCACACATGTAATATTTATCGTACACCATAATTATTCACATATTATGTCCTTTTTTAAAGTCTAAACTTCCCAAGGCTGGCCATCTTTTACTCATACATTTGTATCTTGGGTCCAAAATAATATGACCAGCCTGCCTGAGATAAAGTAGTTCTGTTTTAATAAGTATCAGCAGATAGTAGAGAGCGCGTCAAACTCTGTTGAAAGCAACCTGGATTTCCAAAGCCCTGGCTTTACTGCTGAAATTAGGGGTGCAGCCTTACGCAGGTCATCTAATTTCCTGGGCCTTAGGTTCCCTTCATCCGTTAATTCAAATTTATGGTCTCTAAGGGCTCGGCCTTATACTTTGTTAATCGAAATAAAGCAGGAAGCTGGAAATTCAAAGCTCAGAATTCTACAGCAAAGTCTGCTTTCCTGTTTCCACAAGTGGGTGGTTATGTGATTTACTTTCTGTATTTCTCATGGAGTATAAATGAGAATAGATGTCTTTTCACTCACCCAAGACGGAGTATCACGCCACGTGCCGAGCCTGAAGTCGGGCCACCTTCTCTGCAGCGCCCCACATTCTGTGGCGTCTGTTTCCCCCCGAACACGAGGGTCCGTGTGTCCTCATCTGCGTATCTTCCATGTCTGGCCCAGTGCTCGGCACAGAAAAGACAGTAAGGTTTGTCAAATGAGTAAGTGGTTTTTTTAAAATGCTTTTAAAAGTTCCTACAGGTATATATGCTTTAATTGTACCATCATTAGGTCAGTTTCCAAAATAATATTGTAATCCAAAAAAATGGTTTAACTAGCTCGCCAAGCTTCCGCCAGCGATGACATAGAAGGGTGTTATTTACTCATAGCTGGTCTTTTTCTGGGAGACCTAAAGGAGACAGAATTAGCTCTATATCGCTTTAAAGGTCTTCGAATATTTTAAACAATATTTATGGAAGACTGGCATGGATATATCCTGTTCTCAATCATTGTTGTGTGCATTTTCTTCTGAGAAGTGAATTTTTGCTCCTTTTAGGAGGATTTTCTATGGGAGGCTGCATGGCGATGCATTTAGCGTATAGAAAGCACCGGGATGTGGCCGGCGTCTTTGCGCTTTCTAGTTTTCTGAATAAAGAATCTGCTGTTTACCAGGTAAGTTCAAGCTTTAACACACACACACACACACACACACACACACACACACACACACACCAGAAATATTCACACACTGACCCTAAAACAAAATTGATAATTAAGCAATAACCATTCACGACCAAATTAGTCATATAGTTTATTCCAGCTTGTCATTAATATTCAGGAAGTGTCCTGTGCAAAGATAATAAGCAAGGTGCCAAAAGGGAAAGGATGAAAGCGTAGTGTGCAGCGTAGCTGTGTCCTTTGTATGTCTTAAGTGTATACATGACTGTGGCTAAGTCTGCTTATGTCGTGCACAGGATCACACGATCGATCGACTGCAGTGCTCACAGCTGGTTCACAGCAATGTTGTCATTCGTGAACGTGACGTTGCGGCGTCGCAGCTTCCTTACTGACAGTACAAAAGCAGGTGCAGAAATGAGAACGAGGGTGTAATTTTTCCCTCGACTGTCCCTCGTTCTGGTTCCTCCCTCCTTCCACTCTGGGCTAGAGACAGAGTTTCTTCAGGAGATGCTGGACTGCTTTGCACAGAGTCCACTGTGGAGTCAGTGCAAGTCGCGCCCAGGGGGGCCCCAGGGCCAGCAAGGCGCTGCGCCCGGGCCAGGCCCACCACTTTGTCCCTGGAGCAGCGCCCCCGCCTCTTTTCCTTTTAATGGGGAAGGTTGGTGAAAGTGGGCTTTGCGGTTCTCCCTGCCGCCCGGGAAGGCCATTCTCAAACGTCCCGCTTGCGTGTCCTCTCCTCCAGGCTCTGCGGACGCAGGAGGGCGAGCTCCCCGAGCTGTTCCAGTGCCATGGGACTGCCGACGAGCTGGTCCTCCACGCCTGGGCGGCGGAGACGAGCGCCACGCTGCGGGCCCTGGGGGTGCGCGCGGACCTGCACAGCTTCCCCGGGCTCTACCACGAGCTCAGCCCTGGGGAGCTGGAGAGGCTGCGGGCCTGGGTCCTCACCAAGCTCCCGGCAGGAACGGGAGGACACGCAAGTGAAGCGGGGGACGTGCGCGCGCATGGCGTGTCTTTCTGAGGAGCGACTTTGACTGCCAAAGTATCATCTGATCAGTGACTATTAAAATACTATGAAATATCAACGGTTCACTGGCTTCTTTGTTACTGTAATTCTTAGCACCATAAACGGTAGTGGCATGTTGTTAAGGTAAACATTAGACCGACATCTGTATATCATTTTCACATTTTTGTAAAGAGTTGTAGACCTCTTAAGTAATGTTACAGTGTTAAGAAATAGTTCAAAATAGTTTAAATAAGGACAATAAGAAAACACGACTATTTCCTCTGTCCTACCACTTTCTGTACATCACCTGTCCAAAGACACTAGTGTTTATGCGGTTTCTGACAGCGGAACGTGAATACTCAAGGTTCACCAATTTCCCGCGCCCTCGCGTGACAATCACCAGAGCCCGATAACCAAATAGCCCGAGTAGCTGCTACTGGTACTTGATGGCAGGGTAGAGGATGGAAGGCCTCCCCGAGGCCTGGTGAGCCGACCGGGGTCCAGGGCTTGCGGTCCTGGGGAGCGCCCCTTCCCTTAGCCCCGACCCCACTCTGCCCACGTCCCAGAGCCTCGCCCGCGTGCCACGCGCCCGTCTCTCCACCTTTGCCCATTCTGGCCGGCGTGGCCCACCCTGTGTTTTCCTAACGACTAGTGATATTGTGCAGTTTTATATCCCTATTTGTGACCTGTATAAGTTCTTCAACTATATTATACATCTAATCCTTTTGCCCATTTTTATTAGGCTGTTTGTCTTATTGCACTATGAGAGTTTTTAATGTTTGCTATTCTTCCTTGGGAAAGTACTCCTTTGTTAGATTTTTTGCACATTTCTTTTAGTCTGTGGCTTGCATTTTTTTTCATGCCAGCGTAATTCAAAGAGCAAAAGGTTTTCATATGACAAAGTTCAGGTTATTAATTTTCTATTCATATTGTATGCTTTTAATGTCATATTTAAGAAATCTTAAGAATGCCAGGGTCACAGATTTTTCTTCTATCTTTCCTACTGGAAGTTTTATCACTTTAGATCTTCTATTTAGTCTGTGATCAAATTCCAGTAAACGTCTGTATATGGTAACAATATGTATCAGGGTTCATGTTGTGCACATCCGGTTATCCCAGCGCCGTTTGTTGAAAAGACTCTCCTTTCTCCGCTGCCCTGCCCTGGCGCTGCTGTTGACAGCTCAGCTGCTCATGCCTGTGCGCGCTGCGCTGTTCCACGGGGGTGTTCTCGGTCTTCACTACGAGACCACACGGACTCTATCACCGCAGCATTGCAGTAAGTCTTCAGATCAGATTGTTGACGACCTGTAATGCTGTTCCTCTTTTTTAAAGCCCTTCTCAAGTCTTTTATATTTACCCATATATTTATTTATCTTTCCCACTGTCCTGCATCCCTTAATATCGTTTTGGATCTCCCTGTGGCGCCATTTTCCTTCTGCCTGAAATAGTCTCAACATTTACAACAGCATAGGGCTCTGCCGCTGTTCAGTATGTTCAGCTTTTGCATGTCTGCAGAAGTATTTTTTTCCCTTCATCTTTGAACGCTGTCTGTGCAGAATTCTAGGCTGACGAGGGGTTTTTCCTCCCGTTACTCTAAGGGCCTCACACGGCCGTCCTCTGAGGCGGCCCCGACGCAGCGTTTGCCGCAGGCCTGGCCCTGCCGCGCCGGTGGGCCGCCCGCCTTTGAGGACTGTGGTCGCTGGAGTGTGAGGGTTCACGCCCTGGCTGACAGGCGCACACGTTCCTAAGCCGCCTGTGTCCCCGGTGACTGTCCTGCTGCTCCTCTGGTGGCTCAGGCTTTCCTCACTCGCACCTGATGGGTGGCCCTTTGCTGCGGTCGGAGGGGCCCCCGCAGGCTCTGGCGGTCCCCGGGCAGCTCCCTCGCACTCTGTGCCGTGAACTCTGCTCCTTGGCCTCCCTGGGCTCCCGGCTCTGTCCCCTCAGGGGCTCCATGTGGGCCCCCTCGCTGTGCTGACAAACCGGCCTCACAGTCAGCTGGGCCTTCGCCGGGCTCACCTCATTAGTTTCCCCTCCGTGAGGGATCACTGTCCCGAGCTGCCAGCACCGGACATCTGAAAACACAGGTGTGGCCTGGCTTCTTAGTTGTTTCAGGTCGAAGAGTAAATCTGGTCCCTGTGACTCCATCTTGGTCCTAAGGAGGAACCCCTTCATTCCTCTTTGATCTAAAGTTATAAACTTTAGAGAGAGGGAGGGACGAAGAGAGAAATGAGAATTTAACTAATAAACTTCAGTTTGTGGAGTGTTTTAGTTGTCTTAAGCTTTTAAGGACCTTCAAACTTCTTGGCATTTTAAATGCACTGGATTGCATATACGTGGACCACTCGCGTTTAAAACCCTTAGGGCCGCAATTCGGCCTAACAATAACATGTGCACGTGTCACAGATAAGGCCGTCGGCCCTCTAAGTGTTGAGTGTGTACACACCAAATACAGTACAAGGGAAAGGAATCCATATTTTAACGAATACTTGTCCTGTCACTTAATGATCATGCATCTGGGATAAATCTCAACCTCTGATACAGTGTGCTCTTGGGTGACATTCTTGTATGAGGATCAAGTTAGAAAGCGTATGTAAAAGCTTTTAATAAAATGGAAAGGTAAACAAATTTAAGGTATTACTAATATAGTTTTGTCAGAGATAGAGGGGTATGTGCGTGTAATAGCTACAAATCTTTCTCCGCAAGCTACTCTGTGTATAGAATATGTATCTTAAGTGTTTTATACAGATAATCTTCCATCCAACTCTAGTCCGCTACCCACTGGGCCGATGGCGATGCCTTCTCCGTGATCACGAGCTGCCTGCCTCTTTCCAAGCCAGCGTGGCCTGGGCCCCCTTGCACAAGACCGCATGTTCAGGGGAGGCCCTCCCGCCCCGTGTCCAGCTCTCGCTCCCTCATCCCGAGTCACCGCCTGCCGCCTGCGTGTGCTCTCTGTAAGCCTGAAAACTCCTCGCTAAGGTTGGGAACACCAGGTTCAAGGTTTGCTCCTCCCGGCGAACTGCTCGGCCATCGTCCCCCTGCCCCACCCCAGACCGTTCGTGGCTTTACCCACGTGCTTTCCTAACACAAGGGAGCTGGGGTCGCCGCGGTGCTTTCTTACGTGGGAGGCGAAATGGCAACAAGGAGGAAGCATAAATCCACACATTATGTATGGTCACATGCTGGGGACACTGGAATTTTGCAAGAGAGGAGAGAGAGCACGGAGACTTTTTTTAACTCTCTATTTCTTCTGTTTGAATGTTTATAATGAGCTTGATTACCTTTGTAATCTTTAAAATGAAGTAAAACATTTACTGATAGCATTTTTTTTTCCTCCACTAAAGAATAAGAATTATCATCATCAGCGGTAAGGAAATTAAATGTATTCTTTATAGGAAGTTGAGTATCCAATTGACGTATAACAGAGTGAAAGGAGAACAAAATAGAGTGAACTGGCCCCTGGGCTGCTGAGGATTTACAGCCCTTTGGTATGTAAAAGAAAATATCCAGATAGTGTTCAGCCAGCATGTATTTAAACAAAAAGCCTTTATCATAGAAAAGGGATTTCTTGATCTACGATAAGAGAACAGATTTACCAAAGCCATACAAACATTTCAAGAAAATATCAAAAGCATGCAAACATTTCAAGAGAATTCAGATATGATATACACAGAGACAGCTGGTCCAGCAGCTTTAACTCTGAGTAATTCTAACGTGAAGAGAGAAATGCATTTGCAGAGAACTAACGTGCTGTGTGTACAGACACGCAGACTCTCCTGGGGAGAAGGCATGGCCTTCACGTATTCCTGCGCTGAGGGTAGACGCAGGCCATGCATGTGTTCTCTCTGTCGCTCTGGCGAACCCCTGCCGTGTAGCTGCAACCAGGTCAGCTCGGTGAGTTTGACAAGCATTGAAGTAAGACGACTGCAAACAGGACCCCAAGCCCCAGAAAGACACCCCTGCACCTCGGGCCGCAGCTGTGCCCCACAAGGTCCCGGTCCCCCGAGCATGTACCTTAGGAGGCAGCTGTCCTTCTCAAGTGTCTGCACTGACCTTCCGCTTGGTCCCAGCATTAATCCGAGCAGGATGTCTGAGCACTTACACAGACTTCGCCTCGGCCTGCGAGGATACAGGGCAGCGTGATGCAGCCTCCACAATAGCCATGACCTTGACATGGCCCTGGACGCTTCCAGGGACAGACGGGCACCCCTGATCATTTCAGCCACAGAGGGGCACAGATTCCACCCCAGCCTTCCTAATCGGGTGATTCCCATCGTGGGCCCTGGGCCCTGAGGCTGCCCACAAATAAAAACTGGTTATCATCTCCCCAGAAAGCTATGCCAACACACCTAGCGTAGCTTCCTTCTGGGCGGGTGTCCACAGCCATTCCAGAGTTGGTGAGCTGTTTGTGGTTCTCTGAAAACACTTGAAAGTCTCTTAGAAAGGATGAAAGTCTCTGTGTTTTCCAGGGAGGTGCACAAACACCTCCTTGGCCACTGTGAGGCCCCCCTCACCAAACGGGGCCACAGCCGTTCAAGGCACAGGTGACACGGGCTGCAGTGTGGCCTCCCTGCCATCCCCTAAGCCTTCCAGTTTCCCGGTTCAGTTTAACAGTGGAGTCCAGTCCTTGTTTCTCGCAGAGGAAGCCCAGGGAACTCACCCGGGCCTGTGCCCTTGGCCCGCACCCAGGAGGAGCAAGTGACAGCTATGGGAGAAGGCGTGGGCACCAGCTGGGGAGGGTGTGCTGGTGGCTGGTGTGCGTTGGTGTGAGGAGGGGTTTGGTACAGAGGCTGGGGCCATCCTTTGCTGCTGCCACAGACTTCTGAGTAAAGATAAGAAGACAGGCAGCCACCCTGACCGGCGTGGCTCCGTTGGCTGCGCATCGTCCCACAGAGAGAGAGGCGCCGGTGTGATTCCCAGGGTCCCTGGTTCCCGGCGTGTGCGAGGGGCAATGATCGGTGTTTCCATCACACGTCAGTGTCTCTCCTTCTTTCTCCCTCCCTTCTCCTCTCTCTAAAAATAAATAAAATCTTTAAAAAAAAAAAAAAAAAAGAACAGCAATCAAGTTTTACGTCCCC